TGGTTACATGAGTTAGGCTGGTTACATGAGTTAGGCTGGTTACATGAGTTAGGCTGGTTACATGAGTTAGGCTGGTTACATGAGTTAGGCTGGTTACATGAGTTAGGCTGGTTACATGAGTTAGGCTGGTTACATGAGTTAGGCTGGTTACATGAGTTAGGCTGGTTACATGAGTTAGGCTGGTTACATGAGTTAGGCTGGTTACAGACTGTCTAATGAATGTCAGGATATAACACAATAATCGACACTTAGCATTAAGTGTGTGCGAACCTGCACTAAAACTTGAGCTAATAGGCTCTCACCTTGACCTCAGCCTCTGAGTAGTTCTGCACCAGGTTCTTCAGCTGCCTGCGAAGCATCGAGGACGTCATGGTTTCAATGAAGAGTTCAAACCATAAAGATCCAGAAGAACCAGAAGAACCAGAACCTCTGCAGCACCAGGCCTGAACCACTGTTTTCAAAACAGACAGAAATGTCAAGCGCTGCAGCTGATCTACTCATTTATTATCTCATCTATCTCATCAACAAAAATCTACAAAAGGCCAAACCTGTCACGTCAGTAGATGTAGCTGATTTTTACAGTTAAAAGTTACAGTTAAAAGGTGCCAAAATTAAAGTGAAACATTAAAGCACAATTTGAAAGAGTAGTAGATTTCAGTCTGGCTTGTAATGTGGTTTTATTATTATTGATTGTTATTATTTACAGGCCTCTGTATTTGAGGCTAAGCTACATGCTAACGAGCGACCAGCATCGAGTTCTCTGGGGGGTTTTTTACTACAGATTTAAACACATTTCGTCTTAAACGCCGCTTAAAGTGAAAAAGAGAACCATTTTGACCGGTCTGTCTGTGACCGTTAGTGCTTCGTTTTCAGAACCTTGGACAGCAATTCTTCAACCCAGCTGACGTCACCGTTAGCATCGTTAGCGTCTGACAGCTTCTGTTAAATATTCGGACAAACTCAGGCAGTTTTGCCTTCGTTTTGACCGAGCCTGAGTTTCTGGGTGTCCCGGTGTTAGAAACAAAGACTCAAAGAAAACACTTGGACTTTTATTACCTGCAGTGAATCGTCTGAGGCTTCGAGGAAAAACGATAAGAGTGACTTCCGCTTTCGCTGTAGACAGGAAGTAGCTCAACAATCAAAGCTGTAATATAAAAACGGCTGCATGACTATCGTAACATTTCGCTCTATTAAAATTAAATGCTAATAAATCAGTGTATTAAACAAAGACATCAATGGAATTTCGAGTGCTGAAGAAACAATTGACTATAAATTCAAAAGGATTAAATTATGTTGTAGGAACGTAATGATAAGATACATGTTATAAATATTACAAATATATAACATTTGAATATATGAAAGCAATATGTGAATGTTTCACTCTCACCGATAAAAGTGATGTTTTTTTGTTTGTTAATAAGAGTTAGAGAAATAGAAAACCATGAAATTATGAAATGGTTTTTATTGTTCGATCTTCATTTTCATATTTAGGTCACATGGTGGCGGTGTGCTGTGGTTGTAGTTGTCTGCTACAAACAAAATAAGAGAAGAACGCACGATTTAAACGATCAACAGGAAGTTGGTCGTTTAAAACTGACATTTTCATTTTTATAAAATAAAAATGATGAATATGCATGAAATACTGCAGTAACGCGACAGAAACATAAATGTAGTCCGTCAAACTTCACCTCCATTCACCTCCTCATCCTCGTACTCTTCTTTCCTCCTCTCACACACGGGATTTGAACTCACGCTTTTCTGTTCATGGAAAAGTAGGAAAAAGACATTTGGACGTGGTTTTATATATGAAGTATAGACACGTTCTCATTCAGTATTGGTGGACTCGTTAAACGACCTTTGTGCTGTCTGTGCCCCCTAGTGGTCAGTAAAGAACATTTCACTAGCTTTATATCACCATGCCTCCTACACCAAAGTCCATAGAGAAAATCAGTGATTTTAGTTTACAGAGAAACATTAGCACATTTAGATTTGATCTGACAGGTCTCTCTTAATATCTCCCACACTGAGGTCCACACTGAGCTCAAGGAAAACTAAATAAAGCCGTCTTGTTTAATCTGATTTCATCTTATTTTACTCATTATTCCAGGGTAAACAGTGGCCATGGTTCAGTGTTTGCGTGTGTGTATGAAAGAGAGAGACATGAAGAACGAGTGGAGGAGAGAGGGTGACGACGGTTTACGGCAGAGGAAGCAGTGACAAACACACAGACCCTCCCTGAGTCTGACAGGCGGAGAAGAGGAGGAGGAGGACAGAGGAGGAGACAGGAGCAGGAGCTGGAGGAGACGCAGCCAGAGGAGGACAAGCGTGAATCATTTTGTAGCTTCTGGACACATGGACGTGTGAATTTGATGGAGCCGGTTTTCCTCCTCGACCACTTTCACCCTCTGTGAGAAAAAATGGGCTGCATCGGATCCAGGACCATCAGTAAGAACCCAGTGTGTGTGTGTGTGTGTGTGTGTGTGTGTGTGTGTGTTAGAGCAGGGAGGAAGTATGAGAACAGCTGATAACCATGACGATGATGACAATGATGTTTCTGTGGTACTTTTACTCATACCAGCGTGAGATGTTGACGCGGCACAGACTGAGGAGGAGGATGTGAGCAGAATCAGATGATCTGACACTGGACTGAGTGTGTGTGTGTGTGTGTGTGTGTGTGTGCATTGATGTGTGAGAGGAGAGGGACAGAGAGAGAGAGAGAGAGGAAGAGAGACCTCAGCTTTGACTTGATTCTAAGGTCATGTCGAACTGAGTGGCTTCTCCCTCCTCCCCCGTTTTCCTCTCTTTCCCGTGCGTCATGCTGACACATGACAATACACACACACACACACACACACACACACACACACAGGTAAACTCAGGTGTCATGATGTCATCAGGTTAAATTAACCTGAAATAAGTTTTTTTTATAATTAAAAAGACAGTTGTTTTGAAAACAGTCAACACATTGTGCAGACAACACTACTAGAACAATCAAACAACACCGTCCACCGACTGTAGGACAGAACAGTCGAACAACACTGTCCACCGACTGTAGGACAGAACAATCGAACAACCCCGTCCACTGACTGTAGGACAGAACAGTCGAACAACACTGTCCACCGACTGTAGGACAGAACAGTCGAACAACACTGTCCCCCGACTGTAGGACAGAACAGTCGAACAACACTGTCCACCGACTGTAGGACAGAACAGTCGAACAACACCGTCCGCCGACTGTAGGACAGAACAATCGAACAACACCGTCCACTGACTGTAGGACAGAACAGTCGAACAACACCGTCCACTGACTGTAGGACAGAACAGTCAGATCAATATTACAGAACACTGTTATAAATGTTGTTAATCCAAACAAAGTTAGGGTTTATTTAAGGCTGGGTTTTAATGAAGGTTTAATCAGGGTGTATTAAGGTGTAGTTAAGGTGTAGTTAAGGTGTAGTTAAGGTGTAGTTCAACTTTATTTTAATTTTGGTTGGTGTAAAGAAGATGAGAAATGATCATGAAAAAAAGTAAATGATCTCAGACAGAGGAGGTTGAAGTGATTTAAAAAAGTGAAGAAGAATAAAAAGTTCACACTATTTACACACACACACACACACACACACTCCATCAAAGATTCATCAGCTGCTTCATGAAAACAAATGGAGAGGGCAGGGTGTGTTTGTCTTGACCTTTGATTGTCATTGAGTGGAGAGTGGACTGATGGTGAGGAGGAGCAGGAGGAGGAGCAGGACGAGGAGAAGATAGACTTGAAAAGTTAGCCACATGCTAACTGATAGCATCAGTTGAACCAATCTATCAGAGAAAGTCAGATCTCTGAACTCTGGTGTGAAATGTTTTGATTCTTCTCCAGAGTTTGGCTCTGACTCCAGCAGCTGCAGCTAAAAATATGTTCAGAGTAAAAGAGGAGCTCAATGAAAAGGAGGCGCAGGACGGGAGGACACGGAGTAGAGGGAATCTGACAGTAAATATAGCTCAACGTGTCAAGATGTGGTCTGTTCAGAACAGACTGAAGTCTAGACCTGAACCTGAGCTCTGTTTGTTTTTCAGCTGAGACGTCACATGACATCACATTACAGTCTGGACGTCTCCGTCTCCAGGGACTGAGGAAGATCATTGACTCTGTCGGTCAGGAAACTCTGTGACCTCACAATCAGTGATTTAGAGCGACCCCTGGAGGTCATACATGTTTTCAGGGCACTGTAAACCACACACGTCACAGTCGAGAGATGAAGAATGATGATGTCATCGCTGTAGTGTGAAGGTGACCTTCAATGTGACCTCACTGTGACCTCTGACTGTGATACCGACTCATGTCAGTGTAGGAGCTGCTGTTGATTTCACCAGGTTGGAGACACACACCCACGGTCACGTGACGTCTGCTGACTCCGTCTGTGTTTCTTCTTCTTCACAGCTGTGGATGCAGTTCCTGTCAGAAAAGATGGAGATCAGGTAAACAGCTACAGGAAGAGAGAAGTTAAAAAGTGGGTTCATCCTCATCCAACACTGCCCCCTGCAGTCACACCCCTTCATGGTTTTGTACCAAGTCAGGAAGTTTAAAGCATGTTCCTCACCCCCACCTCCTGTTGCTCCTCAACCCCCACTGTTGGCTGGTTTTTGACACCAGACTCAACCATGGACTGTAGTCTGTAGACTGGCTCTACAACCTTTTCTTCATCCCTCTTTCTGTCTCCTGTCTGAGCAGCTGTCCATGGAGGACACCACGTCCATCCTGCCTCGTCTAAAGAGGAAGTCCACCAACACCTACGGGATCGGTGCTCTGGCTAAGTCGTCTCTGTCAGGTGTGTCAGGTGTGTGTCTGTGCTGGTAAATCTGCCCCCATGTTGACTCCACAGGCTCCGCCCACTCTCCAGGACAAAGGGATAGAACTTTGTGTTGATCTGTCATTGAGACACATGTGAGTGTCAGAGCAGAGCAGTGACCGCCATGATGATGTCATCAGGAGTTCACCTTGTCTCCAGGCTGTTCAGATCTCCACCTAAAGCATCAGAAAATCAGAGATTTTAGTTCAGACCAAAGTCCATGGAGAAAATCAGAGATTTTAGTTCACAGAGACAAAACAGTTTTTGAGCCACCGCTGCGTCCAGCACTAAGTTCAAATTTGTTGCTCTATCTGTTTCCTGATCCTCAGATTGTTCTTCCCAAACATAAGATAAACTCAGACTCTTAACTCAAACTCCTTGTATCTGTCGTCCTTGAATTTATGTTGCTGCAGAAAAAACCCTAAATGTTTAATCTCCAGGAAAATGATCTCACGTCTGAAGAAGTGATCGGTGCCTGATGATGACTTCTTCAGTGGTCACTGCTCAGTCCACACCCTGACACAAGGGGGAGGAGGAGCCTGGACCCAACATGGACACCTCTACGGGTGCCCCCCCCCTTCTGGTTTCAGATAATCTTTTCTTATTCATTATTATTATTCCTTTGACTGAGAAGCCAACACTCTGCCCATCTTCATACTGCCATATATGGTCGTACTGCCATACATGGTCGTACTTCCATACATGGTCACTCAGCACTGACTCAGTCACCCAGGTTCTTGTCTTTACCTGAGGACCAATCACAGAACCAGACCAACACGCCACTCCCTCAGATGTCAAACTCATTTGTCATCATTCTGAAGCCCCTCCCACAGGCCTTAGTGCAGAGGTGTGGTTACCTTCTTCTATTTGACAGTGCGCATGTGTCGTCTGTTTGCTCCTCCTCCCCCTCCTGCTCCTCCTCTTTCTGGCTCTTCCAAATCCTAGGCGTAACCCGCTCCATGAAGGACAAAGTGACCAAACCCACAGCTATGGCCCAAGGTCGTGTGGCCCACATGATTGAGTGGCAAAGTTGGGGTAAACCATCAGCAGGGCCACCAGGGGGAGCCTGTCGGACCAACCTGCAGAGGGAGAAAGAGAGGAGGATGGAGAACGACGCCTACAGTGACCTCAGCGACGGAGAGAAAGAAGCTCGCTTTGCTGCAGGTAAAAAAAAACAAGTGGAGAACCCAGGTACTGCAGGGGGGTGTCATTTTGTTCAGTTCACGTTTGAACAGTTGAAGTTGGTTTGGAGACGACACCAAACCAAATATAATATTTATACAAAGCTGTCTACCTGGTAAACTCTTGGTTCATGGCCCAAACATGTACAAGCTTTCATAAACAGGGACTGACTCTGACCTTAGCTCCGCCTCTTTCTTCAGGCATCATGCAGCAGTTTGCCATCTCTGAGGCCACTCTGTTTGGATGGAATTCAATGGATGGAGAAAGTTTGGGGGCGGGGTCTAACCAGGGCAGCATGGCTCACCTCAGTGAGGTCAACCAGGAGAGCATCACCAGCAGAGGTACCAGCCCATTAACCTAACCTGACCTAAGCTAAGCTAAGCTAAGCTAAGCTAAGCTAAGCTAACAAACCAGGTGTTTCACGTCATGGTTGTGGGCTGAGAACCAGAGCAGTTCTTCTCTGTTCTTCTCTGTTCCACCTCCAGACCAGATTCTCCACCAGTCTTCTGCAGACGTCTGGCCTCACACCTACGTCTCCCAGGGTCTTTACTGCCTGTCGTCCTCAGACGCCTGGGACCCAATCACCAGCCAGCCATCCGGCGTGGCGTCTCCGGCCGCGGGCTCCTACATCATGGCCGCAGGTGAGAGAGAAACGCTGCGTCGCTCCGACCGTCATACCGCAGGCTGCCTGTGAGAATGACCGCTCTGACACGCCTCCTGCAGGTGGCAGTAACGGTGTGGGTGGTACACCTGCGGAGTGTTCGGAGGGTACGGTCAGCAGTTACCTCCATCAGCACCAAGCTCAGCTGGCGCTGCAGCAGCAGAACCAACTCCAGCAGCTGCAGCAGCTGCAGCAGCTCCATCACTACCAGCAGCACGTCCTGCAGTACCAGCAGCAACAGGTGAGCAGACACCAGCTGTACCAGAGGTTTCTAGTCACACTTTATCATTTCTCCCTCTGACCCCCCTCTACCCCTCTGACACACCCCCCCCTCTCACTCCCCCTCTACCGCTCTGACGCTCTGATGTCACAGGAAGTGTGACACCACCTTCAACTAACAAAGGTCGTGACCTCTGCCTTCTCCATCTTCTTATTTTCTTGACCCCGGTTCTGGTTCTTTCTCCCTCAGTCTCTGGACCACAGGCTCCACAGCCCCTCCCACTCCCTACAGGCCACCCCCAACAGCACCATCCACAGCCTAGGACCCCCCACCCACCCCCGCCTGGCTGATCTGTGGGGAGCTGCACAGGTGGAGGCCCATCAGGTACAGACCCAGTCAGTGCTGTAGTAGTGAAGAGTGTCCGATGTCTGAGCCTAACACAGCTGTGACCTCACCCCTGCCCCGCCCCCTGTCATGCACCACAGTTAAAGATAGTCCTCCATCTTGGACAGTTGTGGGGACATTTCTGTCTTGACACTCTCATGTCTGTGTCTTTTCTGTCTGTTCTGGATCTGGCTTTGATTATGTCGTCAGAGATACTTAGCTGACACTTCTGTAGTGCAGTGAATGATGGGAAAAAGAAGCCGGGGGAGTCAGTAAGGTAGGAGACAGGCTGGAAGTCTGCATGTTAACACCTGCATGAAGGTCTGAGGAGGATCTGATGCTCAACCTGTGGTCACCTGACTGGTTTCTGGAGCAGCATGCTGTGACATCAGCAGGTTGGGTTTGACATCAGCGTCTACCGTTTGGTTTCTCCGCATCGTGACATCAGCTGAGCAGAGCTCGGGTTCTGCCTGGTTCTGGGCCGTGACCCGGACCCTGTTCAAACAGACCTGGTGTGTTCCCGCTGAGTGCTAACAGACTCTGGGTGGTGGCAGGTGGAGGTCCTGGGACAGCTGAGTGGACAGATGGTGGAGACGGTGGGAGAGGAACCAGAACCGGAGTCTGAAGGTTTTCCTGAGCAGCGTGAAAAGGAGGTGGAGGGGGAGGAGAAGCTGACGAAGGTGAGTCCTGTTGACTTAGGTCTGAGGGACTGAAGTACCAGCTGCACTGGTCTTCACTCACTGGTCTCTAGGTGTTTGTCAAACTGTTCTGTGATCAGACCACAACTGTCTGTCTGTCTGTCTGTCGGTCTGTCTGGCTGCCTGACTGTCTGCCTGTCTGACTGTCTGTCTGACTGTCTGTCTGTCTCTCTGTCTGTCTGTCTCTCTGTCTGTCTGTCTGTCTTTCTGTCTGACTGCCTGTCTGTCTGTCTGACTGCCTGACTGTCTGACTGTCTGTCTGACTGACTGACTGTCTGTCTGTCTGACTGACTGACTGTCTGTCTGTCTGACTGTCTGTCTGACTGTCTGCCTGTCTGACTGTCTGACTGTCTGTCTGACTGACTGACTGTCTGTCTGTCTGACTGCCTGACTGTCTGACTGTCTGACTGTCTGTCCGTCTGTCTGTCTGACTGTCTTTCTGTCTGTCTGTCTGTCTGACCGTCTGTCTGTCTGTCTGTCGGTCTGTCTGTCTGTCTGTCGGTCTGTCGGACTGTCTGTCTGTCTGTCTTTCTGACTGACTGTCTGACTGTCTGACTGTCTCTCTGTCTGTCTGTCTCTCTGTCTGTCTGTCTGACTGGCTGACTGTCTACCCTCTAGTTCTTGGTCCTGCTCCACACAGATGGAGGAGGTGACCCTAACCCTAGAACCTGAGTCCTGCCCTGTGACTCCTTCTCCACTCAGAGAAGACTCGTCCTCGTCCTTCAACAGACTGACGTCACACATCATTCAACCCACCGCGTTGGACGTCACACTGTCAACCGGCGTCACCAGGTCAGCGGACAAAGACACTGACGACGGCTCGGCCGCTGTTGTTTTTGCCGCTAACTGAACTTCTGAGATCATGAACAAAAACAGGAAATAAATACTTCAATAATCACTTCAGCTTTTATCTCAGACTGTCCCAAATATTTACCCACTTTGAAGAACAGGAAGCAGAAAAGACTCTGTTCAGGAGGAGACAGAGGATTCATACAGATGGACCAAAACTGTGGCTGAGGACAAACTGGTGGAAATGTCCAACACAGAGGTAGGACGAGGAGGAGAAGAAAAAGATGTGATAGTTCTGGGTTTTCACAGTGTTTAATTGAGCTAACCTAAAGAATGTGGTCTGAACTAAAATCTCTGATTTTCTCTATGAGGTTTGGTGTGGGAACTGAAGCAGCTGATCAACCACTAACTGAAAACCTCGATCACTTCACAACAGTTCACGTGACAACAGAAATGATGACAGTTTCTATAAATGTCTTGGAGTGTGACAGATGTGTGTGTGTGTGTGTTGTTAGTGAACGTGAGTGACAGCCCACCTGGGCAGCAGGTGAATGGGTCAGGTGTGTGGCCCAGACTCAGAGTCATTGACTGTCACAGTGTAACAACATAAACACAGTAATAAAATATATCCAACATTTTTAAATAAAGGATAAAAATGAGAGTCAGTGAAGTGTGTGTGTGTGTGTGTGTGTGTTCACTGGGTTAAATATACACACACACACGTCTTCTTGTTGTTGACAGTAACTCAGAGAATCCTAATGAAAATCTAAATGTTCAAGCCAAGTCAATCCAGTGAGGCATTCACTGTCCAAGGATCAAGCTCCTCATTACTGTTTGACAGACTACAACCTACAGAGGAGCACCGACATGAAGGTCATGGTCAGCTCCAGGAGCTCCGTGGGAGCTACTTGAACACAGCTCTCCTCCTGCTCTCCTCCTGCTCCTGCCTCTATCAACGCTTCTGTCTCATAAGGATTCTTCCCTGGGTTAGAATTAAAAACCAAAGTGAGGATCTTTTCATTTTTATTTGGCTTCATTCGTCACAGTTTGTAGAGACTGGTCTGAGGAACAGAAACGAGCAGAAACAGAAGAAACTCACAGTTGACTGAACTCAAGCAGAACAAAAAGACTTCTGTTGCTTTAAAGACTTCTGGAAAGACCTGAGAACCTGAGTCCAGAGGAGCAGATGGAGGAGCAGATGAAGGAGCGTCAGGGGAGAGAAGGTGAAGAAGGTCCTGAGTCACCAACATGGTTCTGGAGAAGATGGTGAGAACTTGGGCAGACTGCAGCACCGCTGGGTTAGTTAGGCTGAAGCTAACTTAGTTAACTGCTGCTACCATCCGTCTCCACAGTGAGACGTTTAAGAACATCTGCATGGAGGAGGAGGTGAAGGAGGAGGAGGAGGTGAAGATGTCTGATAGCAGGAGGAGGTGAAGGAGTCCAAAGAGACACGAACCACAAGAACCTTCTAGAACAAGAACAACGGAGACCAAACCATTGATAGTAAACTAAACCATGGGCTCATCCTCACTGTCCTCCTCCTCCTCCTCCTCCTGCAGGAGTCCCTGAACAAGTCTGAGGGTGGACAGAGGAATAGAGGAGCAAGAAGGAGAAGGAGGAGGAGTGCAGGAAGAGGGCACTGGAGGAGGTGTGGAGGAAGGAGGGAGGGTGAAGTTACTGTTACAACTGCAGCTTCCACAGTTTGAGTCACTGCAAACACTGTCACTGTTGCTCCTCTGCTCCACCTCAGTGGCCACCTCCTCCATCCACACCTCCGTCTCATTCTCATCAGGAGGGTGTTGAGGAGGTGAAGAGGAGGGGGGAAATGTGGGAGGAAGAGGCTGAAGAACAGCAGAAGCTGACGCAGGAGAGGGAGGAGCGGTGGGAGAAGAAGGAGGTTTGGAAACAGACTTGTGTTTGCTGCTGTCACGGAAACTGGCCAGAGGGGGGCGTAGCCGGACGCCCGAGCGTGTGGAGCCTTCAATCGCTTTCTGGAGCTAGAAGAGAAGAAGAACAAATAGAAGTGGGTTCATGGTTTGAATCATGGTCCATGGTTCAGGGACGGTCACGCTGTCCTAATGTATCTGAGTCCGACTGTAGGGTCCGAGTGTAGGGTCTGAGTGTAGGGTCCGAGTGTAGGGTCCGAGTGTAGGGTCTGAGTGTAGGGTCTGAGTGTAGGTTCTGACTGTAGGGTCCGAGTGTAGGGTCCGAGTGTAGGGTCTGAGTGTAGGTTCTGACTGTAGGGTCCGAGTGTAGGGTCTGACTGTAGGGTCCAAGTGTAGGGTCTGAGTGTAGGGTCTGACTGGAGGGTCTGACTGTAGGGTCCGAGTGTAGGGTCCGAGTGTAGGGTCCGAGTGTAGGGTCCGACTGTAGGGTCCGAGTGTAGGTTCTGAGTGTAGGGTCTGAGTGTAGGGTCTGACTGTAGGGTCTGAGTGTAGGGTCCGAGTGTAGGGTCCGAGTGTAGTGTCCGACTGTAGGGTCTGAGTGTAGGGTCCGAGTGTAGGGTCCGAGTGTAGTGTCCGACTGTAGGGTCTGAGTGTAGGGTCCGACTGTAGGGTCCGAGTGTAGGGTCCGAGTGTAGGGTCCGACTGTAGGGTCCGACTGTAGGGTCCGAGTGTAGGGTCTGAGTGTAGGGTCTGACTGTAGGGTCTGAGTGTAGGGTCCGAGTGTAGGGTCTGACTGTAGGGGCCCAGTGGAGGGTCTGAGTGTAGGGTCTGAGTGTAGGGTCCGAGTGTAGGGTCCGAGTGTAGGGTCCGAGTGTAGTGTCCGACTGTAGGGTCTGAGTGTAGGGTCCGAGTGTAGGGTCCGAGTGTAGTGTCCGACTGTAGGGTCTGAGTGTAGGGTCCGACTGTAGGGTCCGACTGTAGGGTCCGACTGTAGGGTCCGACTGTAGGGTCCGAGTGTAGGGTCTGAGTGTAGGGTCCGAGTGTAGGGTCTGAGTGTAGGGTCTGAGTGTAGGGTCTGACTGGAGGGTCTGACTGTAGGGTCCGAGTGTAGGGTCTGAGTGTAGGGTCCGAGTGTAGGGTCCGAGTGTAGGGTAGAGTACTGACACTGAGGAGGTGTTTTCAGGGAGGCGCAGAAGTCTCTCCTCTTACCTCCTTCAGCGCCACCACACCCACCAGTTTTCCAATACTGGTCACGTATGCATGACTGAGTCCCAGCAGTGAGAAGAGAGTGTGGGTCTGTGGAGACACAAGGACAAGAACAGGTGTTCAGTGAGCACAGCCTGGAACCACAGACAGAAAGTGTCTGTTGACAATCAATTCTAACCCTCTACTCCATCACATTTCCAGTAAAACCAGTAGAACCGGACCAGGACTGAGGAGAAGAGAAGAATAAGAACGGCCAGATCCTGGATCAGCAACATCGACAGGAAAGTGTGTTTAACTCTCACTTCACCTGCAGGGGGAGACACTGTGACTCACCCTAGTCCTAAACCTGCGTACGCACAAATATGGTTGTGTATTTCCACGCTCACGTTCAGACGTATCAAAACTGAAATGATCGTAGAAATGTGCGTCAGCCTTTGGCGACACTTAGTGGTGATGCTGGGAAACTGCTAATAATGTCATCAGAGACTGGACCCGCGCCCAGAGCTGCAGCCGGCGAGATGCCACGGGTGCCGCCCTCGCCGAGGTGCCTGGTATCAGGTGAGCTCAGGTCGTGTGGGACGGAATCATCCGGATGTTCTGGATGTAGAACAAAGTCCCATCCAATGACGTTGAAGAGCCAACATGGAGGTGGAGTTAGAGCCTGGTCCACTCCATCAGTGCTCATTAACATTGCTCAACACGTGGCTCACCTGACCTCCACCTTCACCCCTGCGCTGCTCTGACCAACGGCCTCTCACACACACATATTTATACCTGTGGTCATGTGACCAGAAACACACTCTCTGACCAGGATCAGCTCCAGTAGAATCAGTTATTTCACTTCCTCCTGATGATGTCACCTCCAGGTCATGTGATCCACGGTGCAGGTGGGGGCGTGCTGTGGTAACGTACGAACGTTTCTGGATTTTGACGTACGCCCTTTTTCACGATGAAATCAACGCAATTCTTAGTACATGACCCCTGACCCCTGGTTCACGTACCTTGTGTAAAGACGTTCTCTCCACCAGCTGGAAAGGTGAAGGGTCAATGCGTATCTCATCGATCTCCATGGCTTTGTCCGTCTCTACCTCTTCCCAGGCTTTGATCTATGGAGAACCAGGGGGAGAAGGAGAAACATGAAAACTAGAAGAATGACTTCAGTCTGCAGTGACTGACTGCTTCAGTCTGCAGTGACTGACTCAGGCTGCAGTGACTGACTGCTTCAGTCTGCAGTGAATGACTGCTTCAGTCTGCAGTGACTGCTTCAGTCTGCAGTGACTGCTTCAGTCTGCAGTGAATGACTGCTTCAGTCTGCAGTGACTGCCTCAGTCTGCAGTGACTGACTCAGTCTGCAGTGACTGCTTCAGTCTGCAGTGACTGCTTCAGTCTGCAGTGACTGACTCAGTCTGCAGTGACTGACTGCTTCAGTCTGCATTGACTGACTGCTTCAGTCTGCAGTGACTGCTTCAGTCTGCAGTGACTGCTTCAGTCTGCAGTGTCTGCTTCAGTCTGCAGTGACTGACTGCTTCAGTCTGCATTGACTGACTGCTTCAGTCTGCAGTGACTGCTTCAGTCTGCAGTGACTGCTTCAGTCTGCAGTGACTGCTTCAGTCTGCAGTGTCTGCTTCAGTCTGCAGTGACTGACTCAGGCTGCAGTGACTGACTGCTTCAGTCTGCAGGGACTGACTGCTTCAGTCTGCAGTGACTGCTTCAGTCTGCAGTGACTGCCTCAGTCTGCAGTGACTGACTCAGTCTGCAGTGCTAACAGGGTCCTGTCTAAGATTCTGAGGGGTGAAGGTCCAACGTCCAGAGGTCAGTGCTGTCAGCTGACTATTCAGAGTGAAGCAAGACATTTTTAACAACAGTCGGCATTGAAACAGAGGAGAACAGTCACCCCCCCCAACCCTCCAGCTCCGCCCCCTCCCCTCCCTCTTTCTTTCTTTACTATGCTTCATCATTCATTAGCGGTAAAGACGATGGTCTGGTCCAACACAGCCCTCTGGTGGACGGGCTGAGAGACAGTGCTGAACCACATGAAACGGCGTTAGTGATGAGACACACACACACACACCTCCATCACCTCATCTTTAGCCTACCTCTTCTGGAGTCATGGTGTCTAACAGAGGAGGAGGAACCTGCTCCTGGAAGAGGAGGAGACAAATGAACCACTATGAAAGGTTCTGATGGTTCTGATTAATCAAAGCCCGCCCCTCAGACCTGTGTGTGTCCGTCCGGTGGTCTGTGGACTGAAGTCAACAGGTTCCTGATTGTCCTTCTCACAGACTGCAGTGGACTTTTATCTGTCAAACAGAGTCAGGTCAAAGGTCAGAGAAAACAGGAGAAAAAAGGAAAACCAGATCAAACCTGTAATGGCCACAGCTCACCAGGATGGGGACGTGTGGACATGGACAATGTCTCCTGGGCTTTAGGGACATGCAGAGGTCCATTCCTCTCCTCCTGAATCAGAACAGCCCCCCCATCCCCCCGCAAGTCCAAACCCCCCACCCCCCAAGGGATCAACATGGAAATCAAGACAAAAGTTGATGATGATAAACAGCACCACAGTGTCATGACTTCGCCCCCTGCTGGTCTCATATAATAAAACATTATATTATAAAACAATATAACAACATTTCTTGTTGAAGAAATATGAGTCACCTTCACCGTTTCCTCCTCTTCCTCCTCCTCCTCCCCCTCCACCTCTCCCTCATCCACGAAGGCAAATCCTCCTCTGCTGTGGTTCTGGTTCTGGTTCTGGTTCTGCTCCTGGATCCACATGTCATTCAATCATTATTTACAGACGACTGACGAGATGAGCGTATTACAGACTGCAGCCGTCCTGAGGCCCCCACCTGCATGAGGAGCCTCCGCTCTGGGGACAACCACCAATCACAGAGAGCCAGCAGCTCCACCCTGTCGACGCTGCCCAGCAGGATCATAGACTCTGGAGGAGAGGAGACCATTTCTAGTCAGAAGACTGAAATCATGTGACTGTGAACAAATGTCAATCATCTGTTGTCCTCCACCTCTGGAGTCCACCACGGGGATGGTCTTGAGTGAGGAAGAGTCCAACAGCAGCTTGACTTCTCCGTAGGTGGACTGAGACGATATAAAGCTCACCTTCCTCACCATGATGTCACCAACAAAGATGTTGTACTGGCTGTGGGACGGACGGACGACACAGGTGATCACAGAGTCCGTCAACAACCTGCGGTCAATGTTCAGCTTCTACCTCATGTGTCCGAAGCCCAGCTCCGGCAGGTACGGAAGCTTCTTGACCTGGATGATGGAGTCATAGAGGGACGGCTGAAGACCCTGAGCCACCATGTTGGCCAGGATGACGGCCACCATCATAGGCAGGATGTGGGAGATCTGACCAGTCAGCTCAAAGCAGATCACTGCCGTGGAGACTGTGTGAGTCACTGCACCAGTCAATGCTGCCGCTCCTGACCAGGACAACAGGAAAGTGGTCTCTACTCAGCACCAAACCAACCTCATAGAGAAAATCAGTGATTTTAGTTCAGACCAAAGCCCATGCAGAAAATCAGAGATTTTAGTTCAGACCAAAGTCAGTGGAGAAAATCAGAGATTTTAGTTCAGACCAAAGACTAGTCGAGCTGAAAGTTCTTCTACCTTTTCTAAGAATTACTGAAGAGAGAGGGAAAGAAAATGGGGAGTGGAGAAAGAAGGATGAAAGTAAAGGTAGGGGGTAGAAAGAGGGGATGAGGAAAGGAGTGAAGGGGAGCCCAGAGGAGGAGACCATGAGGAAGGTATGGGGGAGGTAACAGCTGTTTCTGACACAGTGTATTTGTTCAGCCTGACTCAAACTGATTGGATGAACCATTCAGTTGTGAACGAACCAATGACAGCGTAGCCTCCAGGAATGATGCGGTACAAGATACCATCAAACACAATGCCGTGAGGGAACAGCGTGGCCATGATCTCACCCACCAGACGCCCAAACGCTGCCCCTGCAGGGGGAGAGCAGAAATGACAGAAAAATAAATCTAGGTCTAAAAAAAACAGTACCAGGAGAAAATGAAAGTCTAACAGAAGAAACGACTGGTGGATAAGAGAGTAATAATCACAATCTCCATCTACAGTATCCATCCATCCATCCATCCATCTACGGTATCCATCCATCCATCCATCTACAGAATCCATCCATCCATCCATCCATCTCCAGTATCCATCCATCCATCCATCCATCAATCTACAGTATCCATCCATCCATCCACCTACAGTATCCATCCATCCATCCATCAATCTACAGTATCCATCCATCCATCCACCTACAGTATCCATCCATCCATCCATCTACGGTATCCATCCATCCATCCATCTACACTATCCATCCATCCATCCATCTACAGAATCCATCCATCCATCCATCCATCTCCAGTATCCATCCATCCATCCATCCATCAATCTACAGTATCCATCCATCCATCCACCTACAGTATCCATCCATCCATCCATCAATCTACAGTATCCATCCATCAATCCATCCATCTACAGTATCCATCCATCCATCCATCCATCTCCAGTATCCATCCATCCATCCATCCACCCATCCACCTACACTATCCATCCATCCATCCATCCATCCACAGTATCCATCCATCCATCCATCCATCTCCAGTATCCATCCATCCATCCATCCATCAATCTACAGTATCCATCCATCCATCCATCAATCTACAGTATCCATCCATCCATCCACCTACAGTATCCATCCATCCATCCATCCATCTACAGCATCCATCCATCCATCCATCCATCTCCAGTATCCATCCATCCATCCATCCATCCATCTACACCATCCATCCATCCATCCATCCATCTACGGTATCCATCCATCCATCCATCTACAGAATCCATCCATCCATCCATCCATCTCCAGTATCCATCCATCCATCCATCCATCCACAGTAGCCATCCATCCATCCATCCATCTACACCATCCATCCATCCATCCATCCATCCACAGTATCCATCCATCCATCCATCTACGGTATCCATCCATCCATCCATCTACACTATCCATCCATCCATCCATCCATCCATCCACAGTATCCATCCATCCATCCATCCACCCATCCACCTACACTATCCATCCATCCATCCATCCATCCACAGTAGCCATCCATCCATCCATCCATCTACACCATCCATCCATCCATCCATCCATCTACACCATCCATCCATCCATCCATCCATCCATTGACTCTTAAATGAACATTTCATTCTGAGAAAATTAAAAATGAACATAAAACAAACAGTTGAAATGATGTCTGGGACTGAGTCTAGGACTGAGTCTGGGTCTGGGGCTGAGTCTAGGACTGAGTCTGGGTCTGGGGCTGAGTCTAGGACTGAGTCTGGGACTGAGTCTAGGACTGAGTCTGGGTCTGGGGCTGAGTCTAGGACTGAGTCTGGGTCTGGGGCTGAGTCTAGGACTGAGTCTGGGTCTGGGGCTGAGTCTAGGACTGAGTCTGGGTCTGGGGCTGAGTCTAGGACTGAGTCTGGGTCTGGGGCTGAGTCTAGGACTGAGTCTGGGTCTGGGGCTGAGTCTAGGACTGAGTCTGGGACTGAGTCTGGGACTGAGTCTGGGACGCGCTTCACTGATCACTCTTCTCATCATGAACCTGGTGGAGACTCTGCCCCACTGGTTGAGTAACACACTACACTGGAGACACTGACCGAGGATGAAGACAGGCATGAAGGCTCCAGAGGGAACAGGCATGGTGGTGGCTACGGCTGACATCCAGAACTACAGGAGAAGAGGAGAAGGAGGAGAAGAAGAAGAAGAAGAAGAAGAAGAAGAAGGAGAAGGAGAAGAAGAGAAGGTGAGGTCAACTTGGAGACCTGGAGACCCAATATCAACACACACACACACACTCTGGGGGTGAGGTCATCACAGACCTTCATGATGAAGAAGAGCAGCAGGATGATGAAGACGCTGGTGTCAGGGTGGAGCCAGGCTGAGGAGCGACCCAGACCCACAGGTGGAGAAGAAGCTGAGATCTTGGTCCAGGTGAAGTTGTCAAACAAGGAGTTGATGCACTCTCTGGGCATGAGCTGAGGAGGAGACAGGAGTGAAGAGGAGGAGGAGGAGGAGGAGGAGCGAAGCTGTGTGTGTGTGTGTGTGGAGAGGAGGCGTGAACTCTGACCTCTCCTGCCATGAACTGTCCAAACCCTGGAGGAAAGGTCAAGGAGGCGATGACCAGGGTCACCGCAGCAGGAAACAGGAGACGACTGCAGGGGGATCACACACACACACACACACACACACACACACACACACACACTCTTAATTCAGTGCTTTCAGCTGTCTTCTCAACCGTCCAATCAAATCACTTGGACAGAACTGATTGATCATAAAACACTCCCTCCACTGTTATCACCCCTCCACTGTTATCACTCCCCACTGTTATCACCC